GATTTTTTTTTTCTTTAACCCCATAATTTTCGCACATCAGGGAGCCGCTATCAATATGCGGGGTATTGAAATCGTATTTGAATTAGCGCTTTCTGTTCACTTTTGATTTCGCGATCACGCACACTCTGTGTAAAAGGAGCACATCTTATCAACATGCCTAATAATTATGCACGCACTGTATTCTGATCATATTTTTTCCAAGCACATTTTACCAATTCCAAACCACATCAATCTAAATAACTACTATTATTTTTGTATTCTGAAGTGTTGTGAAATACATGAAGACTATTTTTATAGGCTTTATGGACAGATAAGTTGAAAGTGAGTCTTGAAGGACCAGCACCACATCCTCTTGTACTCCTCCAGATTTGCACATGTACAAGGTTTAAAATGTTCATGAAATATTTTCAAAAAATATTGATGTTTAGAGCAGCTGCATTCCTCTAGGTCAAAGATGAAAACATGGGATTTACAATAAAAAGTAATTTACACAATTATTTTGACTTGAGTTAATTTATTAATGAGTAACGTCTCTTTTGAGTGAATGTGCAAATTTTTTATGTTATCAGGTTTTACCATGTTATTACACCATTTAACCACTTTTTATGAATTAAAAAATTAAGAAATTCTTTCAAATTTAAATCTTGTACAAGAACTACAGCAAAAACCAGTTTGATGCATATTTTATCAGTATTTTAGAAATTGAATTTGAATATTACCAGTACTGACTTCAATGGATTTCATTAAATTCCTTTGAACACAACTGCTCAAAACGGTCCAAATTTATGAAACCTACACATTCAAAACATTATTACTCTGAATTTTTTTATGTAAATGTTACGTGTAAGTGAACTGTTAAGTAATGCAAGGTCTTTCATGACACTACATATGCTGGGGTGTGAATTTGATAGGTGCTTGATATAAAATAAATGGTGCTTTAAAAAGTCCTTGAAAGTCCTTGAATCTGGTGTTCATGAAAGAGTGGGAACCCTGAACAAACCCGCGCTCTCTGCAGTCTGTTTACAATGAGCACGTTATGCTGTGTCTGGCAAAATGACGCATAGCTGATTGGCTGACGTTGGAAACATGTCCTGCTCTTGCTGGTGCTGGTGATTAGTGGAATTGTCAGCCCTGCTAATAGTCACTATTAATAACCCAGTGGGCTACCATTAGGGTAATTGGGTGATAATGATGATGGCAGTAGCTGTGACGTACGATACGGGGAGGAAGAGAGCATTTTGACACGTAAGGTGAGCTGACTGAAGAGATTTCAGCTCCTGAGATAATGGACCACGGATGAATGCAGGAGCTTTTAGAATCAGACCAAGTCAAATACTGTACATAGGAATGTGTTTTTCAGTTTCAAGAGCTCCTTGACAGTGCTATTCACTATTGTCACTGGTAGAAGAATAGATCGCCGTACAAAGTTAGGTTTTCAAATAGGTACCAAAAAGATAGGGTTGAATCATAATGCCCAAACTAATGACTCAGACTCAAGAGAGACTAGGAATAAATACAGAACATCAAAAAACGAATTGGTGTGAAGGATGCAAATGCAGGCTTCTCTACTGACCTGTGTACAGTTCTTGGCCTTTGGCTCCAAGTCCTCCACCTTGGTGATCTGTTTGAGAAAATCAGACTCTTGCATCCCTGGTTTGGCTCCTCTTCTCTTGAACAGGGCACGTGGGTTTGACAGGATCACCTGCAGGTTCACTGCAAAGCCTGCCAATGACAAAAAGGTTTGCAAGCAAAATCAGACATTTCAATTAAAAAGTATTTATTTTATTACTTTTTACTCTTTGCTGCTTTTGATGTCATAGCTCATGATAATTACTAGTGAAGAGTTTGGAAAGAAGTGCGTGCCCTTGAGCCGTGATGGCAGATTGCAAAATACTTACTTCCAGGGGTTGAGCAACTGCCATTGAGATGAATGGGAATACTAAAATATATCTTTCTCTAGGTATTATAGACCTCGTTTACAAGTGTGACAGTCTGGGTTTCGCACAAGCTCCAGAAATTGGACGCAATATAAATCAAAAAGCTTACAGACCTGCCATTATTTATTGCAAATTCATCTAAAACGAATTATTGTGCAGATAATCTCATTATATATTCAAGCACACTCTCTCATTTACGCTGTATTAGCTATACGCAAATACACAGCTCTTCAGCTTGGTCTTGATCTTATGCATTTCTCATGGGAGCAGGTTGAACCGTCCCACTGCTGCATGTGAGTCAGGATAAGTTTTTCACCCCGTTTCCATTTCTCTCGATGACACCGTCTCAGCTACAAAACAGGATAGAAAATCACTTTTCAAATTTTACTGTAGGGAATATCACCCTCTGTTGTGGGCTTTTTATCCTGGGCACAGGCTGTTTTCTAGGATGCCTGCATTCTAGCTAAAACCACCTGGGCTTCCCTCAAATCAACAGAAGAGAGCTCACGACAGCAATGCAATAGTCATCTAAGCCCTGGCTAACTGTGTCCTTGTGTAGCTACAAGTTCCCTTTCATGGGAACTTTGAACTGCGTCCTCTAGGGTTCGCTATGGGGGAACGCCTCGTCGTGACCCGTGTCTGAAGCATACATTGAAAAAACACCAACTCGTTGGCCGGCGACAGCCATGACGTCACTACCGGTGCGACTATAGTATAAATAGGCGCCGGGAGCACACGTCATTCTCTTCTTCGTCTTCATTGACTGTTTTGTTTGAAGCGTGCATTTCTGTGGTAAGAGCGATCTCTATTTATCTCATTATGGCGAGCACTAGCAAAGCATTTAAGGATGTGTGCATCCGTGTTGACGTTGTTTAACATCTGATGACACACACGATCTATGCGTTGTCGAGACACTGCGTCCTCTAGGTTTCTTGCCATGCTGCGGACGCAAGCTTCAGACGAAGAAGTGAATGATGTGTGCTATTTATATGTCCTATTTATACTATAGTCGCACCGGTAGTGACGTCATGGCTGTCGCCGGCCAACGAGTTGGTGTTTTTTCAATGTATGCTTCAGACACGGGTCACGACGAGGCGTTCCCCCATAGCGACCCCTAGAGGACGCAGTGTCTCGTTCCCTACTCAGGGAACCATGGTTACACAAGAAACCTGAGACGTTTTCTCTCCCTCAGATCGACATGCATACTGTCAAGGTTTATTAATAGTTGAAGACCAGCCAACTCTTTTCTTTTGATCTTTTTTTATTTTTTTAATGACTATATTGCATTTTGATGTCCCTGTTGGAGTATTGGGAGAATGATGTAAGAACCTATGTTTAGAGATTCAGGGACATGGCTTTGATACAGCTGAAGAGCCGGACATCTTTCTGCTGTTGCACCAACAGCGCTTCAGGGACCGGCTAGTTGCGCTGCTGAGTTAAATGCATAAACAATGTAGTAAACCCACCCTGAACATTCACATCCTGATTTTTAAGCCAACTTTCATGAACAGGGTAGGGTTGCACTGGCCTTTTGTAAGGTCTTTAATTAGGACGGCTTTCAAATCTGTAAATAGAAGTGGTGCTGAAAAGCTGTTTATGTTGTTATGATTGATAAAACCCCCACAAAACTATCAATTTCTAGGGAAAATATTATACATAAATCATGAAATATTTAGTATATTTAAAAATGTAAATCATATTAATGAACAGTCTAAAATTAATAAGGGACCGTAAGTAAATATACAACAATCTGTAAAACTCAAATGGTGCACTTTTTCCATTAGTTTCACTAACAATTCACTTATTTACATAAAGTTATATGTCAAAAGGATTGAATTCTGTTAAGGTACAATATAAGCTCATTAATGTAATTTAATCAGTCAGCTGTTTTATTCCAACTGTTCATGCATACACCGCTGTTCAAATGTTTATGAAATTTGAGTAATTATTATAACGACACATTAAAGTGATTAAAAGTGACATTTAAAATGTTAAATATTACAACATACTTCTATTGTTCTTTAGAACTTTCTATTCATCAAAGAATCCTAAAAAAAATGTATCACGGTTTCCACAAAAATATTAAACAGCACAACTCTTTTCAACATTATTGACCAAAAAAGTAATGGCTGCTGAAGATTCAGCTGTGCATCACAGGAATAAATTACATTTTAAAATAGATTAAAATAGAAAACTCTTATTTTAAGTAACTAATATAGTGTAATAATACTGTGTAATAATATTTCACAAAATTACTGCCTTTACTGTATTTTTGATCAACTAAATGCAGGCCTGGTGAGCTTCAGAGAGTTTTTTTTTTCAAAAACATTAAAAATCTTACCGACCCCAAACTTATTAATGGTAGCATAGATTCAAGTTTAGTGGCGCAGTTCTCAAATATTTAGTAGTGTGCAAATTGTAGCATAGTGCCCACCACTGCAAAGAAGCTTTTAGAATGATGTAATGAGTCCATTTTATTATTTTAGAAATATTATAAAATATTTGTAAAGTAAAATTCTGCAAACTGTCCCCCAGACCCCTAGGAAAATATATATATATACTTGTGACACAGATCATGTAAAAGGTAGTGTGACTCACACACGGCCTAATCACTGTGTACACTACAGATGCTGCTTTTTGTTTCCGTTTATTCTCATGCATAATCTTTTCAACCCTTCTCTGCCTAATGTGCAAAATGTCACTATTGTGTGTTAAAAAGGTTTCCATGTTAAGGCAAGCACTTGAGCTCCTCTTCAGGAGAGAGCAGTGCTTGAAAGCAATGAGAGAGGCGGTTCAGGACCTTTTCTCTGCTATTGTGTTTGCTCTCAGAAGAAGCCGTACAGCAGGAATACTAAATAACTTCATTGTTCTCAGCTTTTGTTCAGGGAGAAGTGTAGTATAGCAGGCGGATTTATGAACCTTAAACAGCTCATAGAACGTGTGTTTAGTCTACGGCAGCAATGTGAGGAAGCGTATACATTGTGTGAAGTGTTTGCGAAGGGAGATGTGCTCACTGTCAGCTTGACAATGAATACATTATCTCTGATGACAATGATGATGATATTATGGGTGAGTGAACACATGTGAAGAATACAAGCTATGGAAGAGGAGCAATAGTGGTAGTAACGGGGATCACATGAGCAAGAGATGATACCATCTCTTGTTATTGAGTTTCATGAACAGCATAATATCCAGCGGCAGCGCTGGAGTCTGGGGAATTAGGGATTGCTTCAACTACGCACTGCTATCTCTGACGTTGTATTCATTCCCTTGAGCTGCATATGAGCCCTGCCTCTCTCCATTAGGATTTTTTCAACCTGTCAGCATCTTTTCACCCTCCCTCTTTAATGCATTGCCTGAGAGCTCACGTTTGCTAAAAATGCACAGAGAAATGGCTGAATTTAGCTTCGGTAAAGGTGCTGTTCGCCAATTATAGGGAGCAGAGAGCGAATGGATGCCCCGTCACCTCACTTCTACCTAAAGTACAGGGTACCTGTTATTTTTTCCTACCTGTTATGCTTTGTAATAGTGTGTAATTTATTTTACACTGTTGAAATATAGTTTACCATGAAAACATAAGTAAGCCATTTAAAAGCTGATTTCCCCAAAAAGTGTAAACACAGATGCTTTTAACATCCCTGTTTGGGAATCCCGACCAGCCTGACATGTCAACTTCCAAATTACTTTTAGTCATTTAGCAGATGCTTTTATCCAAAGTGCCTTAAAAATGTGGAACATCACAAGCAAATTTTCAGAAGAGCCAACAATATTTGCAGTACACATTGCCAAGTGCCATGAGTTATTATAGGAAGTGCCTTTGTTTATGGTTGTGCTTTAGTTGAGTGTTTGTGGAAGAAGTGTGTCTTCAGCTCTTTCTTGAAGGTTCTGATGGTCTCAGCAGATCGGGTGGAGGTTGGCAGCTCGTTTCACCAGAGAAGATCAGAGACTGTGAAGTATCTGGAAAGCCACTTAGATGCCTGTTCACACTACAACGATTGTACTAAAAACAGAAAAGTTTTTCCTATGCGTTTCTGAAAGGTTTAGCGTACAGATGATAACGTTTGACAACAACAATCTCCTAAGTGAACACAGTTCATATGGATCCGTGAAAACTAAAAACTCTGTATGCATGCCAGGCCAGTAGTTGGCAATGTCACTTTGTAAAGAAACACTGTACTCTTGCGCACATATGCATTCTTCAAGTACGGACTCGCGCACGCCTATAGACTGAACACATAACACGTATGAGTATAACATCAGCACTTTCACAAATGAGCATTTCTATAGTTTACATGGAGACAGTAAAAAGTTTTCTATTTTTAGATGAAAATGATTTTGTGTAAACTCTCCCTTTGTACCTTGTTGTGAAGAAAGGATCAGGTCCTGCATGTTTACTCACAGTAAGGGGGAATGTACGCTTACAGTATTTATATTTTAAATTCTTTTATTTTTATATTTTTTCAGTAATTTTATGTTTTTGCCATTTTTATTACTTTTTTTTGTGTGTTTGTGTGTGTGTATATATACACACATACATACATGCAATTAGATATAAATATAATTAGATTTATTTTTTAGTTTTAGTAATTTTAGTACTTATTTTATAAGTACTATAACTTATTTTATTTCAGTAAGTTGCCAAGGCCATTTTTTTTAATTTGTAAGTTTTTTTTTCATCTAATATTTATATTTTATTTTATTTCACCTTTATTTCAGTTATTTCGATTTTTTTTAATAGTGTTACTTGCCGTTAACATTAACAAGCCTGGTACTTGGTGCCTTCCCTTCGTAAACATTGACATAGCTGATCTAGTTCGTATCACTAGTATTGTATAGGAAAAAAGCTTCTTCAGAAGACTCTCTGGTGTTTCACAGCTTTTTTTCCCCCCTCAGCTTAGAACGCTCCTTTTGCATGGTCTCTCTATATAGGAACCACTTTGCTGCCTGCTTTGGGCCAATTTTTATGCCTGTTTGAAACGACTTCAGTGAGGGGCAGTCTGGAAAGTAACTGCAAAGAAGTCCCATCTGCTTATCTGTGCAGGCAAGCTGCTCCTCACACAGCTGATGTTGTGATTATCAGCAGCACATGGTATAATATGGGCAGAATATCCTTCAGAACACAGAGAAGATGGACAGAGATATGGATGGCGGAAGTTCAATACCTTAATAACATTCAATAGAATTGAGAGACCTTGTGATGAAACTTGAAGACATAATGCCCCAGCTAATGTTGTTATAAATACTTTTAAGACATTTACAGTAATAGTTGGACTTACAGTAAACTGTCCTAATCAGTTCGGTTGATGGATAGTTATTTGGTCACAGTAGCTCACCTGCAATGGCACATGTCATGGTTTGATTCCTAGGAGAACCAGCATACTGATAAAAATGTATATCTTGAATGCACTGTAAATCACTTTGGATAAAAGCATCTGCCTAATGAATAAACGTAATTTAAATGGAAGCTTTCAGATGGGCATGGTGTAAAAAAAGAAATGTGTTAACGCGTTTTGCACAACTGGGTTGACGGAAAGTGCAAGTTAACAGAAACCTGTTATTTAACCAATGGAATCTCTTGCCAAAAATCTTTCTTTGTCACTCAAGGGAGTGGGCCAGATCATGTTCAGGGCCTATGAATATTTGAAATCCAGCTTTTTTAAATGGCTGCTTAATCTGTAACACTAAACCAGCTATAAAAATCCCTTTGTCATGATGCAAAGGATTTTTCATGTCTAAGGCATAGTTTGTTGTAGTTGTTGTTTTTCAGGCTGCTCATATTAACCAAGTACAGTGAGTTGTTTCAGCATTGAGTGTATTTTTGCCTCGTAGGCAGAAAATGCGGCGAAAATGCACTATAAACCGATTTATCAATACAGCTTTTTATAAAGCAACATAAAATAATTAACTGACAAATTATTTTGTAATTTAAGGTGGTTTAGATTGTGTTTTATAGTTTTCAATGGTACACTCCGATAACCATTTTATAAAAATAGAATGCAATAACCTGGAAATCAGTTAATTGTCTGTAATTTTCTATTATTTTGAGATGCGGTTCTGTTACACAGCAGAAATGCTGTCAGTGTGAATGCATGCTTTTGTGTTAACGTTTCATCCTGCACATAGTGTAACACAGGCATAATTGTCACACATTCAAATATATGTGCCTTTTTTTCCTGGTTAGGTAACAATGTTGCAGCAATATTTTTATAAACCATTATCATTCAGATTTTTTGTATTAATATTCAGTAAAAAATTCTAGTGGTATTTTAATGACCGTGCATGTTCTTAAATGAAATATTTTCAAGAGATCTTAGTGGTGTCTTACCAGCCATGTCAATTGCAAATGGCCTCTCGGCCTTCCAGCCTGTGTACCAGCCAACCACTTTCCCTTCTTCCACTAAGGGCCGCTCGTACCTCCGGCCTCCAACGAGTCCCACCGGCCACACTGACACTCTCCTGGTTGACCGCATCTGAACAGTCGAAGGCAGAGCAACAGTAAATATGATAATATTACAAACCCATTCCACCAAAGTTATCATAAAGAATTGCAGAGTTTTGTTGTGCACCCTCCAGTCGGTTCTTTGGACCTTTATACTGCTAACCATATGCAGTACTTAGTCTATTATTATTATTATTAAAGGAGCAAGTGTAGTACCGTCACACACAGAATGGCTTATTATAAAATCCTGGCTCATTTTCAGCATAAATAAGTCCATCCACCTGCAGTCTGCTGGAGACAGCACACATCGCTCTTCAGTTTCATAAACACCATCACATCTGATTGAACCACCCGCCAACACTAAAACTGACATTTCCAACAAGATACCATCTTCCTTGAGGAATTTAAAACGTCCTACTGCTGAAAGAATCTTGTTTTCCCTTCATTCCTTCATATATAATAAAAATAAAAATTGCCACTGGGGAAATGAGCGTTGCTGCAGTTTCTCAAACAAATGGTCAGAGTAGCCTTTGAATATTTAATGGTTGTTCTATTTATGTGAGTGCTGTACGCAGTCGGGTGACGTGCCTGTGGCTGGCGGCCGTAAGCAACGGACAAGCTTTGAAGCCCAGACTGCTGCCCCTTTAGCTGTATTTCTTATGTCTGTCTTCCTCCCTCTCTTCAAAGGCTTCATCTCCATAATGGTGCTCTTAAAGTCTAACACCACTCAAAAGCCAAGTCAAAGAATTCTCCATAGCAAAGAGGATGTCATCTGCAGGTGCCAAGCATCCTTTTGCGTTGAAGTTGACAACAAGGGCAACAGGCACAGCCATCAAATGCAATGTCACATACACTGTTCTTTGAGCTGAGCTCTCAAGCTACAGGCGGCTATGGCTAGGCATCTGTATTTGGCAGTTTTTGTGACCCATGTGTTTTCCTGCAGGGACAGGGAATATGAAAGTCTGGCCCCATTTTGACAACGTGGTGCAGAGAAATACATTTGTACTAGACGAGTGTGTTCGATATCTTTAGGGAGGTAAAATCACCTTCGATAACAAAACTCTACATGCTACCTGACAGTTCCAGAGAGGATTCAAACAATGCAACAACAAAATTGGATCTAGTAAGGAACTATATTTCTAAGGAAAGACAGGTTACAACTGAGAATAATAAATCTAATGCAGAATTTGCTGTGATGTGGCGTGGCACCAAAGCCACAAGGCAGAGTAGGAGAATACATTGTATACTGTACCACGGAAATCAAAATATGACTTTATTATGACCATGTGCTGCCAATACATACTCAGCACAAAACGACATTGTAACACTTTTTTTTAATTAGCCTTTTTAGACTTGCTTTCCAGTTACAATATCTGAAAATCCTTGAAATGAGAAGCAACACTGCATCGTATTAGGTATTAGAATAAAGGTAGAATAATTGATGATAAATGAGACGATGAGCTATAAGTGCAGGGTTTGGACAACAGCCACAATACTACAATAAATTTTATTTTAAAGTGCATTTTATTTTCATTGCACTGACTTTAAACTTCAAACTAAAGAAAAATTGCCAGTGCATTAGGACAAAATGTACAGACTACGAAAACAAGTCTTGTATCTTGTTCTTATATATTTTAACTGTAAAATTAGTCAAAAAACTATTTTTTTGCAGTAAAGAGGTGATAAAGCAACAAGCGATAATCCGGGTTTTTGTCCTATCCGACTACAACAAGCAATGCTACATTTCACTGGTTGTTCGGTTTTATTTCATTAGCGCTGTTCTTGCTAAAATCTCATTGGACTTAAAGGGATAGGTCACCCAAAAATTTAAATTCTGTCTTCATTTACTCACCCTTTGTCATTCCAGACCTCTGTAACCTCTATATTTAGAAGAATATTGGTAACTAAACAGTTTCAGTTCTCATTGACTTGCATTGTATGGACCAAAAATACAATGGAAGTCAATGGAACTCCAATTTGTTTGTTTGCCAACCCAAATATTGATCTGGTTATTGTGTTCAGCAGAAGAAATACATAAATACAGGTTTGGAACGACAGTTGTGTAAATTATGACCGAATTTAAATTTTTGGTTGGATTATCCCTCCTTGTGTATATTAAACATAAACAAGGAGAAAACAAGGAAGTTGTGGATATCATACAGTATGACCCTCACGTTTCACATGGAAAAACTTGCAGTCTGATAAAGCTCCATATTAGACATGAAAATACAAGGTATGTGTTCTTTCTTGTAATGCTCTTCAGTTGTGTGTCATTGTGAATGTGAGAAAGAACGCAAACAAAGATGGTTCTGATTGGCTGATTCGTGATCAATTATACCATGCTCCATTTTTTAGTCTGACAAATTGCTCGTCATTGAAAACTTGTTTTTTCTATCCAAAAATAATAATGTATGTTCTATTTGTGTGTTTAATGATAAAGCTATTTCCGCTCAAAATCTTTATGGTAGAATAATCTTCCCTTACTTCACTCAGGCAGTTGAAGACATTTTTTCCACTAGAACTTGATCACTGTACTTAAAAAAAAAAAAAACTATTGTTTCACTGTTGCTGTGTCACATATCTGTACTAGCTTGTACTTTTCTAGTCAGTTTTGAGACTTTGCATTGCAGTTCTTCTAAGTTACTGTCGCCTGAGGATGAATCACTCGAGCTGTAGCATTTCTTGTTGGGGAAAACAGTATGTGCTAAATGAATACATTTCCTATGTGTCATTAATATTTGTCATTATGAAACACTAGCTGTTGAAAGAGGCCCGAATGACTCTCATTGTTGTGCTGTGTAATGTGTTCGTGTTAAGCAGAGCAGGGGTCATCAGGATAGTGACACTGCGCTCTACCCCTCAGGGGCAGTTCCATGTGTTCATCCACATGTCCAGCTGTGTTCTGGAGAAATGGAGAGAGAGGGAAAGAGGCAGAGGGAGGGATGCACAAAGCAAGCATTGAAGAAATGAGGAGGGCAGTAAGGCCGGTGGCAGAGGAAAAGAGAACGGCTTAGACAGGAGGAAAAACAGAGGTAGGATAAAGGTAGAATAATTGATGATAAATGAGACGATGAGCTATAAGTGCAGGGTTTGGACAACAGCCAAGAGAGAGAAAAAGATTTTGTGTTACTGTAGATTGGATGGAGAATGTAATGCAGAGGAAGAAACCTCTTCTGTCCTCTTATCACTCAACTGCTGTCAGCTTTCTGGTGCCCTTTTTATGCTTTCCAACCAAATAAAAGAAATGTCCAACCATCAGACATCAAGTAAAGCAACACATTTACATGTTCATTCTTAAATTTATGGTGGCTAATTTATTTGAATTTGTAAATTTTCATGCAATCTTCTTACACCCTACTGACGGTTAATTTATGGGTAGAACTAGTAAAATAGTTGTTTTCTCATGCGATTGGCTCAACTAACAATGAAAATTCTGTCATCACATGTGGTGTCCATGTTGGTCAATCTCCAAAAAGGATCCAAAAAAAAAAAAAACACCATAAAATAACGTTAAAATTGGTCCATATGACTTGTGCACTACATTTGATATTGCATGCTGTACTTTCCATCTTATTTTTCAATGTGGAAGTAAGCCGTTTTCTGTGAATGTTTGAGACTTCCGATTCATTAGCCGCTATAGGGAAATAACGAGAAGAACAGTTTCAAACCGCATAATGAGCTGTTTTGTACAGCTAAAAATAACTAAAAATAAAATTTAAAGTTGTTACATTAAAAATGCAAACTACTTTAAAGTTTCTCCTTTTCCACTGAAAAAAAAATTTAAATAAACAAATGACCGCATATGGAATGACATGAGGGTAAATAATAATATTCATTTTTGAGAGAGCTACTCCTTTAATCCTACTGCTTACACTCTTATAATTACCAGAATCCAGCTGACTTGATCAAAAACATATCTTGAAGAAATATGTGCAGAATTGAAAAGGTTTTTAATGTATGCAAGACATAGAAAAGCGTAACCTGTCTCCACTCATCACTTCGCTGTGTTATCTGTTTCATCTGTCGTCCACAGACAACCGTTTAAACAGACAAATCCTAATTTCCCCAGCTGTCAGGTCACTCTCTCATTTCTCTGTGACTTCCACTGCCTCAAACTGGGTTAATTCACTCTGCTTGGCTACACAGTATACTGGGTCACCTTCACTTAAGGGATAGTTCACCTAAAAACGGAAAATTCTATCGTAATTTACTCACTCTCAAGTTGTTTTAAACCTTAATTAGTTTCTTTCTTCAGTTGATCGTAAAAGTTATTTTGAAGAATGTGGGTAACCACAGTTGCTGGTCCCCAGTGACTTCCAGAGTATGTTTTTTTCCTACTATCAAAGTCAATGGGGACCAGCAACTGTTTGGTTACCCACATTCTTCAAGATTGAGTAAATAATGACAGAATTTTCATTTTTGAACTCTCCCTTTATGTGCGTCAACTGCTGCACTTTTGAGACACATAAGAAATAGATGGCACTGGTGTGATAAAACACATTGCATGAATGTCCATGGGGACAGATGTCACAGCGAAGTCTCCTGACGCACTGCAAGTTATTGATTGCCACCTTTTTATATATATATATACTTCACCTTTTTAATTCAGAAACCTTGTGGAGTACCAAAAAATCTTGCACAGTGACAATATAGAGGTTGAATTGACTTTAATTGCTGCATTATATTTTTAGGTTTTCAATTTTATTAAGTTTTTACAGTGCAGGTTCTCAAGGCAAATACTATAGAGGCAAATGGATTGTGTCTATATATCACACTTTGTAAAGCATGTAGATATACGCACCCCACTTATAAATGTATTTTTGTTGGGTCTTATAGATGCTATATTCCGTATGGTGGAAAAAATAAGATGGGCATATATTAATGTGCTGCTTCTTGTGGAAAAAAATTAACACATCCTGCACCATTTGAGTAGACATGCATGACCCTTTTTAATGGGTCAGATGTAGGCCTATCATATATCAGGATCAGAATATCGAAGAGACACTGTGGTGGAATTTTTTTTTTGACCCGGCCCAACAAGCAGATCTTAGCAACACCCTAGCAACCGTATAGCAAACCCTGCCATCTAAAAAACAGAATTCATATAGATGCATGGCTTGGGCCAGTGTGGACCAGCAGAGGTTTCTTGAGAACCCCAGCCATATATCTCTGTCTAGTTGGCACTATTTGCCATGATGTAACATTTCTATTTGCATTGCTTTTCTAACCAACTATACTTTATTTTCATTTTTCAGATTTCATATCAATCCTTACTCGTCTAAATAGAATTAAAACAATAGTCATCTCAAGAAGTCGTGTTTACCTCTTCAAATAACGCAAGGCTGTAAGTGTTATCATCATCCGCGAAGAAAACGACTCCTTTATCTTTGACCGAGCGATGTCCTCTCAGCCAGCCGAGCGCTAAGTTCCTCTGCTCGGTCGCTCGGGGCATCCCTGTCCGCTTGAACCTGCGCGGAGTGAACACGTTCAGGTGAGTGTATCGCAGCCCAGAGCGGGCGAGAAACCGAGAAACCAGCTCCGTGTGGGAGTTAGAGTCCTCCACCACGATCCAGTGGAACTGCGGAACCTGGCGGAACGTATTTGCCAAGCGGGTGAGCTCTGCTTTCTGCACCGCTCGGCTGTAAGTAGGAGTGATGGCATAAATGACCGGGAGAGATGTGGCGTTACTCCCGCTGCTGCTGCTGGTGGTGGTGCTGCTGCTGCTGCTGCTCCGAGTCGTCCTGACGACCTGCCGCTGCTGCTGCACATTTCCCAGCCGAGACAAATAAAAGCTGGCCGTGTTCCGAACAGACAGCCTCTTCGTATCGATGTCAATCACGATTATCACTATCAAGATCCACGGAAGAAGGATGAAAAAGCGAGTATAGAAGATGGATTTCATTGTGCCCGAAGAACCAGCACAGCTTAATGTGAAGAATTAACAGTCCGCCACAAACAGAGTTTGTGCCTCATTCAGAGACGATTATTGAATTTTTGCAGATTATTCCTTTTTAAACTTCCTTTAAAGCCGTCCCTCTCGTGTTTTTTAGCCAGTATCCGCAGTCCACGAACGTTTAAACTTCCCATTCCCGTTTCCTAAACGCACTGTTGCGATGCCATCCCGTCCTGCTCTCCGCCAGAGAGTCCGTTCCCTGATATGATGCTCCCGATAAATAAGGAGTTTTCAGTCGTTCCGCGCAGAGAACAGTGCCAAAAATAACAACAGGTCATTGTTTTAGGCACGTGCATAGCTTGGAGTGCAATAATTTAATGTAGGTGTAATGATTACTCAACTGCACCGAATGATGGGACTGAGCTGATGGTCCGACGCTGCTGTAAGTCCGTTGAAATGAGGAAGACGGAGACTTCAAACTGAGATTTCACCCTCCCCACCTGCGCACTACAGAGAGCGAGATAGGAATCACTTGCATTGTTGTCTGTTTTTTGCGCGATAGCAGACTTTCATGTAATATTTACATATTTGTCTGTCAGACATGAGTACAGTTTAATTCTAATCTGTGAACGAGTGCAAAGAGGGCTGTTGTTAGAATTTACTCAGCTTGCAAGGCAAATATGTAACATAAATGTTTTTTTTTATTTTTATTTTGTGCTTGAATTTATTGTAATCAAAATTACTTCCCCCATCCAAATTCGTTTTAAAAAATTTGATTCTGAATATTTGACTATTTATTCACTTATATATTTAGTTACATCATGCTGATAATTATTAACTTATTAGTAGTCATTGTGTTAAACAAATGTGAAATTTGTTCATGCCATAGTCTTTATTGAATAAATTCCACATTTCCGTTTGTTCCATTATGAATACTGTCAGATATCTGAGATTCCATTAACAGAAGGTGTGTCTGAATGTCATGCTCATGTTCATCAAATAAAAGAACATTTTCTTTTGATTTCGGTGTGGTTTTCTTTTATGTTGCTATTGTATATAATTTGCAGATTTCTTTAAACACCATTTAATAAGATATCTGAGAATGTAGACTATATATGTTGATGGAAACTGCTAGCCAAAGGATTTTTGTTCTGTTGATCAATGTAAAATGCAACTAAATTAATATTGCTTAAAATGGCAATTAATTGTCAGCTTGTGTATGAAGATCCTGTGAAATCCATCCAAATTTTTCCACATCAACAATATGATTGACTGAAAACTCAATCTGTTGATGTTCATTTGCTTCAGGCATATTCCCATCTGTAGATTTAGCAGATCACCTGATGGCATAAACAAAACATCCTGATGCATGACTAACAAGGTAAAAAGCAACATGGCAACTTATTAGATTTAACAGTCAACATTGTAATCAAAATGGTTGACACATTGCCAGCAGGCTTTTATGATGTTCATTTCAGCACTGGCGTGTCTATTTGACTGTCCTGTGTCTCCATTCACAGTGCGATGACAGCAATGGATTGTGACATCCAGCCTTGTCCTCCCATCCTCAACATGCCACCCCCTGTCACCACAGACAATGTCAATCACAGAAAATAGAAACAACTGTCAGAGACGCTATCTCATTGTGGGCACCCTTTTGTTGTAAATGACTGAAATCTGACAGGTAACGGTGACTATTGTTCATTTCATTGCATCTAGAATGAAAGAAAAGCACTATGAAGTATAAAGAGAAGCACAATGGTTATGGCCTGATTATTTAAGAAACAAGCTTCAGGTCTTGGATGTAATGGAATTGATCCACAGTGAACTGTTCTATTACATGGAGCAAGTGTTTTTTTTCTCGATTTGTGAGAAGTGAGGAGATGAGATGCGATGAAATAAGGAAGATTTATGCTGTTCAGAAGGAACTAGAGACAATATGACACACTTAAAAAAAGAAAATGGTGCTACTGTGCATTTTTGCAGTCAATCTAATCTGGTAATCCTCCCATCTTCATTCACACTGATGAGGCTTCGCAGGAGAGCATGGACTGGACTATTTAATGGCTTTCAGTAGTGGGGAGGAGGGAAAAAAGCTGTTTATTGATGGAGAAATATCCTTTCAATACTCATGCATGCTGTTGAAGCCAACAGAATGCAATAACAACCAATTAAAGCGCCCCATGAAAATAGATCACAGCACAACTAGATCAAATGATAATTTAGGTCTCAATTAAATAAGAGTGAGGCAAAGCAATTTAGATCTTCACAATAAGCAGGAAATATAGAATGCATTTGTCAACACCATTTGCATAGAAATTACTTTTCATCACTTTCCATTATTGGGTGAATTCCGCTTGAGCCAATGCATTTTCTAAACATAACTCAGTGGAATCAATTGGTCTGGAGTTAACAGCATTAGGTCTCTGTTCTTGAAGCTACAGAAACAAATTGCTGTTGGACTTTTTCTCAACTAAAAATCGAAGCATTCAAATAGTTTCACTTGTTCCAAGCCTAATCTAATTTTCGAGCGAAATGCATCTAATGTTTCAACCTGATAATGATTTGTGTTTCCAATTCTGACACCATTTCAGATGTACAATAAATTGAGTTTTAAGATAAACAATAACAAAATTGGCTTAATAGCTTAAATGCCATAATAATTTAACCGACTTTGTTTCTCACAAGCTTTAGTGTAAGAACAGCCATTTAGCTCCAAAATGTGAGTATGTGTGTGAATAATTTCCAGAACAGAGTCAGATGTATGCTGGTCATGCAACCAAATCTCTAAATGACAGAAGTAACTTTGCAAGCTGTTTCATTTCAAGGACACTGAAGAAAGTGCTAATTTGAAGCATCGAAGCATGCAATCAATCTTTTTTGACTTTTGGTAGTTAACATCTCTTTGCACTGTATATTTCATCATCTTTGTCTAATGCAGTCTTCGAGATTCTCATGATGCTTTTTTAACCAGTGAATAAAAGCAATGCTAGCACAGCAATGAATGATGAAGGATGAATATGTGCTGTAATAACCTTGAATCTGTGGCAGAATATCATGCTGTGGGATAGATTTACATAACAAAAGATGTCTCTTGGAGCTCAATCACAAGTAAACAGAGCCGAAGCGGTAACATGGCATTTCACAGGCCACATATTACGAGTGCATTAATAGATGATGACTCTCCTCAATCTGGGACTACATCAATGAGCCCTGGGATAAACACGTATTAGCACCTGTGATACCAAGAGGCTCTCTCACACTGTGGCTAACTTAAGCATTTACCTGCAGGATCCTCTGAATTACTGAATGTGGTTGTATTTGTTGCCACACACCACGGCATATTGTTTTTTTTCCCTAGCATTAGCAGAGCAACTTGGTGATGTAATGATAGCAAGACTACAAATCGACATGCTGATAGCTGCAGATTGTCTTAACACTGTGCTTTGTCTTCATGGCACATGCATGCAGTAAAAGGTCATTTAGGTCCCTAATTAATCCATGGGGAAATTATATCTGCTAGAGAAGGAGAGACTGAATGAGAAAGTTTGCTAACCTCACAAATGCAGCATGATGTATTTGAAATATTGGATTAGATTGGACTGATTCTGGCCAAAGTCTCTTTAAGGCAATTCCCTTTATTCACCTGCCATCTTGGTATGTCTCTGGCAGCTATTTTTTAAATTTTATATATTTGTTAGAAGAAAGTCTAAAATTTCCAAAACTCATTTCAGTGACAGATTTTAAATTTGGAATCAGATCTGACAATAATTTCATACATTTTCTTCTTTTGCTCATTATGACTAAAAAAAAAAAAAAAAAATCAGGTTAGTCCAATGCGCAAATATTCTAGAGTAAAAAAAAACGGGTTCTTCCAGTCCTATGGCTGCTATAATAAGTGTTACCGTTTCTTCCTATTCATATCTTTTCAAGTGGTCCTTCTCTTACAACTTTAAACTGTCTGATCTGGCCTTGATCTTCACGTCTTGAATGGCTGGTTTCTACAGTGGTTGTTGTGTGTGTGCTGTTTGCTCTTAGCAGTGATGTAGCACGTCACCATTTAGTTTCAATAAAAACACAGCTGTGCTAAAGTACGTCCTGACTCTTTTCTCACAGGAAAGAAAACAGTGAAGATATGAACAAAAGAAAATGCTTTCGCATTCTGTCTGAGAAGGCATTTACAAATCATGCAGAATAGAGAATGGCATTTTGATAGAGTGCTCCAGCAAAACCAAGAAATCACTGGTGTTCACAATTGCATCTGGCACAGGGAACTTGGCAAGGCCTTCTAACATCACAATTAATTGGTCTCATCCTGCAACAATCTAATTTGTTACTGTGACACGAAGCCGTTAACGATAAAGAGTGGTGACAGGGTGATCAATTAGGCTTGTCTCTCCCTGGCCTGTTCACTTCTGTTTGGAAACTCTCTTGATTCTATTCGTTTAGTCCCACCGGGAGCTGGATTAATCCTTACGGTGGAGTGGAGTGTATGAGAGTGGAAGACTAGTTTTCATTTCCATGCTGGAAGGACACACTGTCCCTGCCGCACCCAGCCCGCTGACTTCTTTCTCACCTGCTGATGAATGACGAAGCCCTTGGTTTTCATATCAGCTGAAAAAAGGATACACCCATGAAAACTGTATTGCTCAGAGGTTGCACTTTCATAATTCAGTAGGCTTAACAGAGGTCCCATTAGATTTCATTTAAGCATCTGCATTCACTGTAATTGGCGGTTAGACCGTGTGTTACAACACACTGAGCTGTGTGCTCATGTGGAGCTTCAATGACAAAATTCCTAGGAGAAATAATAGTATAGGAGCAAATGAGAGAATCGTTCCAAATTATGGAACAGCCTACCTTTATCTATTAGGATAATCCCTACAGAATCTCTGTTTAAAGTAAAAGTTAAAACCCACCTTTTAGAAAAGGCTTATAACATGTGAGTTGTCCTGAGCTTGTGTTTCCTCTGGTTGTAGTACATTGGTCAACGACTGTTGTTGTATTGTGCTATATAAATAAACTTAAAGAAAGAAAAGAAAAAAGAATCATGCACTTGGCAGATTTGGTCAATTAAAATGAACTTTGGTGCGATTGGTCTTAGTGTGGTTTATTTGAAAAAGTGTAAACGCTGTCATCCGAATCTTGGTGCCCCTGATATGGTGGGTCTTTGTCCACTTCCATATGAACTCTGGTGCAGTTCGACTGATATGTGACCTTGGACCACAAAACCAGTCATATGGGTCAGTTTTTTGAAATTGAGATATATATACATCATCTGAAAGCTTAATAAATAAGCTTTCCATTGATGTATGGTTTGTTAGTATAGGACAATATTTGGCCGAGATACAACTATTTGAATATCTGGAGTCTGAGGGTGCAAAAAAATCAAAATACTTAGAAAATTGCCTTTAAAGTTGTCCAAATTAAGTTCTTAGCAATGCATAT